ACAGAAAGTGCCATCCGTGAAGCAGGAAATGGGATACTGAATTTGACAGCACCTTGACCTTGAACTTCCCAACTTCTGAACTTGTGAAAAATATCTGTTGTTTTTCTTGGCCACAGTTTAAGGCATTCTGCTGCACAGCCCTAAAGGACCAAGACAGCTGGATAATACACTGCATTTCAAACATGTTGTCCTTCTCCTTCCGTCAGGTTCAGGTAAATACTTTTGGTGGGAGGATGGGGGTCAGAATTTGAGGGGAAGACGACAGTTTCTCAGGGTGAATTCCATGCAAGATAACACTGGTAGCAATAGACGCTATTATGTTTCTCATACAAAAGATCATTCAGTACAAATCTGATCTCCAGCCAAATGAGCAGGATTCTGAGACAACATAAATGACATTGCTCCCTGCCAGGAGATCAAGGCAGGGAGGCTGGTTACCCTTGGATATCTGCCTGTTGCTCATTTCATGAAATTCCCAGGAAATCTCTCAGGAGATCAGCAACTCTGTTATGGTACCCTCTTAAAGGGAAACCAACTTCGGTTGCTGCTGAGGTTGTGGGGAAATTGATCCGTGTTTCTGTGAACAGTAGTTCTAGTAACACAGAGGCTAGAAGATGCTTTCATTGCCAGGCCCTGCATCCTGCCCTTCATCTCTGAACTTACTGATGGTCAATGGTTCCCAGTTATCAGTTATAAACAGCTTATACATCATCAGCTTACTTACCCTTAGATAATTTTCTTCTGCCCAGGAATTTGTTTTTATTTATCATAACACATCTCATTTTGTGTTTAAAACACTTTTGAGTGGGATGTGTGGTTGGTATGCTCCATCCGAGAGGAAACCGCTGTACCTCCCCCTTCCCAGCACTGGTTGAATGGTACCCATCATTACATCATGGTGATGTGATGGCCTGTGTCCTCTACTGGGTCGCAAACCTCATGCAGGCAGGAATGACACATTCTCAGATGTGGCACAGTGTTAGCAAGGCACAATGGTGGTTGAATGAATAAATGGACCATCATCTGATGAATGATTTAGATTCCAAAGGGATGCCGATAGCACAGTTCATGGGCAGTAGGAAACAGGGAGAAAGGCTGAGTTCATCAAGCACTGACCAAGCTTAGAGAAGTTGATCTGCATATCTGATCAAGGGAACCTGCAGTCCTGTCTCAGACTACATTCTTCCTCTTGCCCCACTGCATCAGGCCCTGTTTTAGTCAACTTTTTTGCTGCTGTGACTAAAAGACCTGACCAGAACAACTGTAGAGGAGGAAAAGTTTATTTAAGGGCTCATGGTTTCAGAGGTCTCAATCCATGGACAGCTGGCTCCATTCCTCAGGGCTCCAGGGGAGGCAGAAAAACATGGCAGAAGAGTGTGGCAGAGGGAAGCAGCTCACATGGTGATCAGGGAGCAGAGAGGTCTCCACTTGCCAGATACAAATATGCACCCCAGAGCCAGCCCCCAATTCCCACCTCCACCAGCCACACCCTACCCCTTCAGTTACCACTCAGTTAATCCCTATCAGGGGAGTAAATCACTAATTGGATTAAGACTCTCACAACCAAATCATTTCTCCCCTGAACCTTCTTGCATTTTCTCACATGCGAGCTGTGGGGGACACCTCACATCCAAATCATATCAGGCCCACTCCTCCTTCTTGGCCTCCTCTTGATGATAGACACAACCACTCTCTCATTGTCCCAGTCAGGGACAACCATCCTCGTTACCTGCTTCTCCTATACTGCAGTTTTACCTAGCGTTTCCATCACTGTAACCAAAATACCTGACAAGAACAACTTAGAGGAGGGAAAGTTTATTTAGAGCTCTTGGTTTCAGAGGTCTCAGTCCATACCCGGCCAACTACCTTGCTCTGGGCCCAAAGTGAGGCAGCATAGCAGAGGAAAGCTGGTCCCCTCATGGCAACAGGGAAGCCAAGCCAGAGGAGGAAGAGAGGGAAGGGTGTAGGGAAGATGCCCCCCTCCAGGCCTGCACCCAGTGGTCCACCTCCTCCAGCACCCTCCCCCACCCCCACCCCCAGTCAGTCCATTCAAACCTGCATGAACTGATCAGGTGACAGCTCTCATGATGCAGTCATTTACCTCATGTCCAAACCATAACAACTGCCCAAATCCAATCCATCCCTCAGCAGTGGGCTCAGATCGGCTTCCCAATGGCTCTCCAGTTGCTGGCTCCTCACCAGAACCCCACTGCTGCTAGGGCAGAGCACACAGCACCTCTTACCTGGATTCCTCCTCGACCTGCTGAACAATCTTGAGATTCCCCCACTCCAGCCTCCTGCACTCACTCAGTCTACAGAAATGTGCCTTCAACTTTAAAGCCGCACAGATCACCCAGAACCTGGTTAAAATGCAGAACCTGATTCCATGGATTGCAGTGGGGCCTGAGTTTCTGGATTTCCAATAAGTTCCCAATGCAGCTGGTCCATGGGCCACGTGTGAATAGCCAGATGTTGTTTCTAAACTTTAGATCCAGGCAGGTGGTGTAGCTCAGTGGTAGAGCTCTTTCCTAGTATGCTTGAGGCCCTAGGTCAAACCCAGAACCCCAAAACTAATTAATTAAATTTGATTAGATTTAAATCTGTGTGTGCCATTCCCTTCCTCTCCACTCTTCAGTGGCTCCCTATTGCCCACGAGGCCCGACATCAGCAGTTCCTGTCTAATCTGTTTTCCTGCATTTCCCCCTCTGTCCCTGAAGCCCCTGTAGCTCCTCCAATCATTGCCCTCTCTCACATGCCTGTGCCTCTTCCTCTGCCTGGAGCATGTCCTGCCTCTCAGCTCCGATCCGTTAGCTCATTCCTACTGGACTAGTAGGCTTCTCCCAGCCCTGTGAACTGCCCCTAGGAAATCATCCAACCCCGACTCACTCGCCTCCACTCCCAGAGGAGCTTAAAAGAAAGCAGGGGAGGACTCACGGATCTGTCCCTCCCAGCCTTCCCTGACTCGCAATGCACCGGCCATGTGTCTGTCATCTCCTCACTCGGACCTAGGATGACAGAGCTTGGGAAGAAACCAGAGGGACCAGTCTACCCTCCCTGGGCAGCTCCTCCAGCCCTCTGCCAAATGACAAATGCTTCTTCTAGTGGTTTCTATGGGACACTGTTAAGGGGGTCATTTCTACTCACTTCCTGCTTCCAGTTCCTGCATCCACCCAGTTTATATTTCTTTGAATTGTTTTTTCAGAGCTGAAGATCAAACCCAGTGCCTCACACATGCTAGGCAAGTGCTCTACCAAAGAGCTATATCCTCAGTCCCATTTCTTTGATCTTGAGATTAACACTCCTCTGATTTTGTCTTTGGCAGAATCCCTGAGGACTGCTGAATCTGTAGCTTTTTTAATGCTCTGGGGTTCCTGGCCCCCTCAGTACCATCCATTAGACAGAAACTCTTGAGTGTGTGCCCAGCAGCATCTCCTAAAATCAGCATTTTGTTCTCTCCCCTTGCATTAGTCAGCTTTCTGTTACTATAACAAAATACCTGAGATAATCAACTTTAAAATAGGAAAGGTTTGTTTTGGCTCACGGTTTTGGAGGTGTCCAGGATCAGTTGACCCTCTTGCTTTTGGGCCTGTGGTGAGGCAGTAGGACATGATAACAGGAGAATGTGACAGAGAAAGTGCTCACCTCATGGAGACCAAAAGGCAAAGAGAGAGAGCAAGAGGATAGGGTCCCAGTTTCCCCTTCAAAGACTCACCCCTGGTGACCTAAATTCTTCCCACTAAGCCCACCTTTTAAAGCTTCCCCCAGCTCCCAACAGAGGTCAGGCTAACAAACCAGCCTTTAATACATGGGCCCTTGGGGAATGCTTATCCAAACCATAGCACCACTCTTCCTGGAGTCTTCCCAGGGACCCATGCTGAGAATGCCCAGAGCTGAGGATGGGTATATGAAGGACAGAGCTTCTCCCCCTGTCCTGAGCCCAAGTCTTCTGAGAACAGAGGCTTTCTTGGGACCCAGAATTTCCCAGAATGATTGAAGTCACAGAGGCCAAGCTAATCCTGGGTGTTGGTCTGCTCTCTTGGCACCAAAAATGTTCTGCAGATCTAGGGGACATTGTAAAGTCCCTTGTACTGTCCATCTCTCCACCACCACCCCAAATCATAGTGCCATCCTAAAGCATGCAAGACTCATGCAGTGCTGCAGCCATTATCAGCTGACCCTAAGGTCACATGGAACCAGGCCTTTATTAAAAAGAATGAATCCCAGAGGCAGACAATGTGGCTTCTGGTTCCGGACCTTCCATTTGCTACTTGCCTGACCACATGCAATCACTTCTCTTCTCTGTTTCCTCATCTGTACAGTGGGGGCACGCACCTTCCTTCAGCCCACAGAGCCCTCTTCCTCCCAGAGCACCCTGTGGGGTCCACTTTGACTCCACCATCAGAGGAGGACAGTGCTTTTGAAGAGTGTTCTTGAGCCTCAGACCAATGTCAAAGGCTCTTTCTCATGCGGACAGAGAATAGGCAGTTAAGAAGTTTGGTGGGAACTCAGAACTGCCAGCCAGGTTTTAAGAGATTCTGCCTGCATGTTAAAAATACCCTGCCTGGTGAGAAAGAGGCACAAATGAATCACTAATAGCACTACGGCCTTTTCTAGAAAGTGGTCACCCACACCAGCCCTCCAAGCCTGACCAGAGCAAAGAAGAAGTGATTGCCTCTCAATGTGACAGTGCGGGATATCTCAGTCCCTCTCTGTTCCTAGTGTCGCTAGCTGGCATTGCCTGAGCCTCTCCATCTGTGTTCCTACTCTTGAAGAGAGGGATAGCAGCTGTATGCAGAAACCCGGCTGGGGACATTGTGAACTGCCTGGAACCAAGCCCTGTGGCCAGCAATACAGACTGTAGACTGGGACTGTGACCTTGGAAAAATCACAGAATATGGGAAAAGGGCAGCCGGCCTTCCTCAAAGACCTGGTTTTTCAAACCTCTCCTCAGGATTTTATTAGATCTTTCAAAGCAAGGAGACAAATAAGCACTTATTTTCTCTAGCACATGGGATTACCCTGGACTTGAATCCCAGTCCAGGGGAGTCTGGATCCCGTGGCCCTGCATTTCCTGGGCTCACTAGGCGCGGCCTCTGGGGAAGGCTGGGGATTGCGGCCCTCCATTGGCGTTGTAGGGCCCGTCCGCAGGCACCAGCTCCCTGGGAATGTGGCCGCCTTCCACCCAGAAAGCTTTCTCTTCCTCCCAGAGAGCATTCTCTTCCTCCCAAAGGGACTTCTTATCTTCCCACAGGGCCTTCTCCTCCTCTAGGAGGGCTCTTTCCTCCACCCACAGGGCCTTTTCTTCCTCCCACAGGGCTTTGTCCTCCTGAAGAAGGTTCCGGTCTCTTTCCCATAAGGCGTTGTCCTCTTTCCAGAAGGCCTTATCTTCCTTCCAGAAGGTACGGTATTTCTTCCAAAAGCTTTTCTCTTCTTCCCGGAAAAATTTCTCCATTTCCCAGAAGGTTTTTTCCTCTTTCCAGAAAGTTTTCTCCTCTTCCCAGAAAGGTCTCTCCTCTTCCCCAAAACCTAAGATCTGGCCCCGGAAAGCACGGATCTTGCCCCGGAAATTCCACATCTCTTCCCTGAAGTCTTCTATTTTCTCACGGAAAATTCTCATCTCTTCCCGAAACGCCTTTTCCTCTTGGAGCTTGTGGATTAGCTTCTTTTGGCGGATGTTGGGCGAGGAGACTACCAGCGACCGGAGGCAGGCCAGTCCCATCCACTTGCTCACCTTGAAAGGAAACATCTTCCTAGGCAGCCAGAATGGTGGGTGGCTGGGATGGAGAACAGGGCTGTCGGCCAAGTCCAGGGCAGCTGGTCAAACCCTGTGGGGGCACCAGAGAGAACACTGTCCATGACTGTCACACGCTGGGGGTAGGACATGTGTCCATACTTTTGCTCTCTGTTCCTTGGGTAAGTGTTATTGGTAGAGAACATGCTGGGTGGGACATAGCTTGGGCTGATAAATACATTCAAGCTCAAGGCTGCTAAAAACAGAATCTCAGCCAACAAGGAGAGTGATTCTAAACCAGGAAATCAGAGCACAAAAGGGTGGCATGATAAGAGGTAGGACACAAATAGATTTTTCTTTCAAGCAATAAAGCACCACAGTCCCCTAGGAGGGCTAGAAAGGGCTTCTTTCTGGAAGAAGCCATTAAGATCTGGCTTCACTTCTGTACCTCACTTGTGTACCCTAGAGGGTTTCCTTCTGTTAGATTACACAGGATTCATTCAAGGTTTTGGGGTTCTCATGAGAATTGTGCCTGTCTTCTCATGAGCAGCAGGAGCCTCAAAGGTGAATGTCCTCCTTACAAGCCATCTGGGAATTGGAGGGTGACACCCACTGACCTGTGTGTGGGGGGAGGTGTGGGGGGTGTGTGGGGAGATTTGTTTTGGTAGAAGAGTGCATTTTGGGAACAGAGGATTAAAGCAAAAAGGTGAACGATGCCAAATATTATTGCGAATGTGGAACAAGAGGAACGTTCACACAATATCAAATACTATGGGGTGATGGTGAAGACACTGCATGACCCAGAGCTCCACTCCCACTCCCAGAGGAAGTGGAACCCTGAGGAGACTCGTGAACTGTGGCCAGGATGCACAGCAGCCTATCCAAAGACTTCACGTTCGTAAATGCTACCCTGGAAACAATCCAAGGATCATTGTAGTAGAAGGAATAGAAAATGGTGGCATAGCCATGCGTTGGGCTACATGCAAAAAAAATGGATGAACCTCAGTGCTAACAGACAAAAGCAGGATCAAGGGGCTTCAAAGAATCAAGTTTCAAAACAAACAAAACTAAACTCTGTTGTTTAGGGGAACATACTGGGTGATAACAAAAGAGAAATGCAAGGAAGTCAGTCCCAGGGTCAAGGTTGCTGTTACTCATGTGATGAGGGGTGGAGGGTGATGTGGGGGTTTCCCATGGGCTTTGAGCAGCACTTGAGAGGGACTCCTCAGAGGCTGGCCGTGTTCTGTTTCTTTGCTTGGGTGGTGGTTGGATGTGTATTGTTATAAAAATGTGTTCACAAGGAACTAAATGATAATGGAAGGAAAGAAGGAGGGAGGGAAGAAGAAAGGAGAAATAGACCTCCAAACATTGCCAATAGCTAAGGTATCCAATACCAGAACTAGCCAGGAAAACTGTTTTCCATTTTACGCTTTCTGGAAGAAGCTGTTAGGATCTGGCTTCACTTGTGTACCTCATCAAGCACCACAGAGGAGCAACATGAGAACTTTTGGGGAGACTTTCCAGGTTTTCCCTGTCATCTTCCTTTCTGAAGTAGGGTGAGGGGGAGAAACGTGTGTGTGTGTGTGTGTGTGTGTGTGTGTGTGTGTGTATGCATGCACATGTGTATGTGTGTGAAGAGATGGTGGGTTTGCTATGGCAGCTGGTGGCATCCCCATTCCCCAGACACACAAACCAGAAACCCAGGGTTCATTCTTGAGCTCTTCCTCTCCCTCATCACACGTTCCATAAACCATCAAGCCCTATCCATTAAGATGCTCACCATCAAATAGGCAGATGTATTTAGATGTAAAACACAATATGAAACTGAAGATGTACATCTCTGAAGACATGAAAAACAAGAATTAAACATGCCTGGTCTTCACAATCATACTTCAAGATGATTCAAGGTCTTATTTTTAAGGGAAATGTTACACATCACCTTATGCTTAGAACAAATGATAAGCAATCAAAAGCCATGGTTACTCACCTCTTTGCTGTTTCCCAACTGGGCAAATCCTGTAGCCCTCCGAGTGCAGGCAGTCATTGTGGGGTCAGAGCCTGGTGATGCACACCCACAGGCTCTCCAAACACTGCTTGACCCCTTTGTACCTTGTCAGGTTTGGCTCAAAGGATAGAGAGGGCCCCAGTAAGGGACTTTATGGAAAAGAGAGAGTATTTGAAGGTTTGAAAGACCTTGATGTCTTCCATCTTAGACTCCACCCATAGGTTCCTCTGTTGGTGATTCACCAATGATTGTTACCTCAGATTCTATCTGGATTGTTTCTAGGAGTGGGCTTCTGGGGAATCACGTATCAGGACATGGTTTGTATGCGACTAGTTACTTTTCTTGCTGCTTTCAAGTATCTCTCTTTGTCTTTTGATGGTTTGCCTTTGATGTGTCTTGGTGTGAATCTCTTTGAGTTTATCCTACTCAGAGTTCATTGAGATTCTTGGATGTGCAGATTTCATGTGTTTTTTCATCAAATTTAAAAAAAAAATTAGCCTTTATTTCCTCAAGTATTCTGTCTTCCCCTTTCTCTCTTCTTCCTCTAGGATTTATATGATGTATGTGTTTGTAACCGAATGGAGTTCCACAGCTATCTGAGACTCTATTCATTTTTCTTTCTGTTGCTTAGATAGTTTGAACTGACTTCATTTGTAAGTTAATGTATTCTTTCTTCTGTCACTTTCAATCTGCTGCTGAGCCTCTGTACTTAGCTTTTCATTTTCAACTGAGGCTTTTTTTTTACACAGTGAAATTTTTACTATAGTTCAGCAAATTTACATATCCATTGTCTCACAGTTGCCTTTTTTGTGTGCATATGTCAAGAGAACCCTAAACTTGCTCCTCCCAAAAACCCTGAAGGCAATATAATTACATCTCTAGAATTGTTCATCCTACAAGTCTGCAGCTTTGTGTCCTTTGGTCTCCTCTTCCCATTTCCTTCCTGTCCCTATCTTCACCCCTGGCAACCACTCACTGTTTATTCTGTTTCTATGAATTTCACTTTTTAGATTTTACAAATAAGTGAGGCCATACAGGATTTTTCTCTGTGTGTCTGATGTAAAATGCTGAGCATAATGTCCTTCAGATTCAACCATGTTAGTGCAAATGGCAAGATCTCCTGCTCTAGTCAGGGTTTTCACTACTGTGACTAAAGGGTCTGACCAGAACAACTGTAGAGGAGGAACAGTTTATTTGAGGGCTCACATTTCCAGAGGTCTTAGTCCATAGAAGGCCAGCTCCATTTCTCAGAGCTTGAGATGAGGCTGCACATCATGGAAGGAGAGTGTGGCGGAGGGAAGCAGCTCACAGCATGGTGATCAAGAATCAGAGAGAGGTCTCCACTTGCCAGATAAAATAAATATATCCCAAAGCCACATCCTAATTCCCACTCCTCCACGCACACCCTACCATTTCAGTTACCACTCAGTTAATCTCTATCAGAGGATTAGTTCACGGATTGGATTAAGGCTTTCACAATCCAATCATTTCTCCTCTGAACCTTCTTGCATTGTCTCACATGCATGCCTTTGGGGGACACTTCACATCCAAACCGTAACACCTTCTTTCGGCTGAATACCATTTCTTTGGATACTAACATGTACCACAGTTTCTTCATCTAGTCATTCATCGATAGACTCTAGTCTATCCAGTATTTCTCCAAATATTTTCATTTTACTTCCAGAATTTCTATTTGGTTCTTTATATATAATTTCCATCTCTTTATTGATAGTCTCTATCAAGTGATACATAGTTCTTATGTTTCCCATTCATCCTCCCCCTCATAGCTTTATTTTTTTTTGTCTTTTATATTTTATTTATTTATTTTCCCTCATAGCTTTATTGAGGTAAAACTGAAGTATAATAAAATGCACATATTTGAAGTATGCAATTTGATCAATTTTGACATGTATGTAACCAATATGATCAATATAAGAAGCATTTCCATTACTTTTTTTAAAATGTGAAATCATACAGACTAGGTTTCCTGCATGATTTATTACCTTAGAAATCAATCACCTTGGGCTGGGGATGTGGCTCAAGCGGTAGCGCGCTCGCCTGGCATGCGTGCGGCCCGGGTTCGATCCTCAGCACCACATACAAAACGAAGATGTTGTATCCGCCAATAACTAAAAAATAAATATTAAAATTTAAAAAAAAAAAAAAAGAAATCAATCACCTTAAGATATATAGAACCCCCACCCCCACATGTCAATCATTTCAAAATTAAATGGCACACACTTATAAATATCTCAGAGGTCAAGGAAGAAAGCACAGAAAAGTAAATAAAAAGTGCTTCAATCTAAGTGATAATAAAAGCTTAAAATATCAGGATCTCTGGAATGAAGCAGTACTCAGATGAACATTTATATCTTAAAGTACTTGTATCAGAAAGAAGCCAGAATAAGAATCAAATTATTTTCAAATCATGTAGTAGGCTGTTCATTCTTTATGCATGGTTTCTTTGACCATAGTTATAACAGCTGATTTAAAACCTTGGTTTAGTAAGTCCAATGTCTGTACTTCCTTAGGGATGGTTTCTAACCAAAAGGAGAAAAACTCAGAGAATAATCATTTCCATTGACTATTTTCCCATGTGTGATCCATTCTTTCTTGTTTCTTTGCATGTCTTGAAAGTTTTCGTTGAAGTCGAACATTTAGAATTATGCAATTTTAAATAATATAATATGGTAACTCTGAAAATGAGATTCTCCCTCCCCAAAAAGGTCTTTATTGGTTGATGGTTTTCATTTTTGCTTGTTTAATGATTTTCCTTGACTAATTCTATAAAGTCTTTTTTATCCCGTGTGGCTACTGAAGTCTGTTTTGTTGACTTAGTTGATTTAGTCAGGTTTTTTGCTGCTGTGACTAAAAGACAGGACAAGAACAATTTTAGAAAAAGCTTATTCAGGGGCTCACAGTTTCAGAGATCTCAAGTCTATAGACAGCTGGCTTTATTCCTCAGGGCTGCAGGTAAGGCTGAACTTCGTGGCAGAAGAGAAGTAGCTCACAAAATGATCAAAAAGCAGAAAGAGACTCTATTTACCAGATACAAACATACCCAAAAGGCAAGACCCCAATGCCC